CATACCTGTTTTATTCTCTTTTGTACCCCTATGATTTGGCCCACTACTAGATATAAAATAGATTTCAGTATAGCTGAACTAAAAATCATATATTTTTCATAAAAACCAAGAAACCAAATAATCAAATTTTGAAAGAACTAAATACTTACTGCTTTTTGAGATGGATTAAATGCTTCTTTCCTTCTATTGTAATGATATAAGCCACCTACAACATGAGCATTCACAGAAATTTTAGTAGTAACACTTTAAAATAAGAAATGTAAATTAAAACTTTAACTCTAAATTGTGCTTAAACAGAATGGCTAAATTAATAATATACAAACATTATATATGTTTCCTGAGCCATTGCTTCAGGATACTGAATATTATATGAGACTACTGTTCTAAGAAATCCAAGATAATGTTTTCACACTAAAGGAAATATTTTTTGATGCTTTCCAGGAGTGGAAATAGGAGGTAGGGATGGGACGCATGGGCTACAGAGTAGACAAGTCTTAACTTGGGGGGAGGGGAACACAATACACAATAAGAGGGAGGTTGGCAAAAAAACTATAGAAGGGGAAAACACTGGGAGATTTTTGAGAGTCAAATCACAGTTTTTCCTGAAAAGACTGAGTGTGCCTTTGGAGTGCTCCAGCCTAGGGAGTCTTCTGAAAGATCCTCCCACCACATCAGGAAAACTTGATCCTGGAGCTCTTTCCTCTAGCCCTACCTGAACAGCAAGCATGTGAAAGCTGGACATTCAATAAAGAAGATGAAAGAAGAATTGATGCATTTGAATTCTGGTGCTGGAGATGAATATTGAAAACCCCTAGGACTACTGAAAGGACAGACTGATCTGTCTTGGAAGAAGTACAGTCAGAATGTTCCTTAGAGGCAAGGATGGCAAGACTTCATCTTGCATACTTCGGAGGTATTGTCAGGAGAGGCCAGTCCCTGGGAAAACCTACCACGCTTGTTAAAGTAAAGAAGCAGCGGTGTAGAGGAAAGCCTTCCATGAGGTGGATCGACATGGTGGCTGAGACAATAGGCTCAAACACGCGGATAATTGTGAGGACCTTGCAGGACCAGGCAGTGTCTCCCCTTCTGGTGTGCATCGGGTTACTGTGGGTCAGAAGGGACTTGATAGCATCTGCCAACAACAACAATCATAATCTTTGCAGCTCCAATCAGATGACTGAATGAGATTAGGCAAATGTAATAGATTTCCTCTATTCCTGATGGGTCTCAGTAAGGGAAGTGATAAAAGATAGTGATAGGATTCTATTATTCTGTTATAAGTGACTGCTAACAAGGTTGACTGGGATAGTAAGAAATTGGAACTTTATTGACATTGGTCAGTATTATCTCAGAAGTAAAATAAAGCAAACCTGTGGTGCGTGTCCTTTGGGTCGCACAATCCCTGCTCACTGAACTTTTTTGATCAATGGACAGGAATTTGTGACACCAGAGAAATGACTGAGGAATGGCAAAGGATTGGCATCAACAGAACCATGGCCCAGAGCAAAGGACAGAGCAATGGGCTACTTGGCTACAGAATATGTTGCCACTTGCAAAACTGGGGGATTTAGGTTTGCTGACCCAGCTGAGCGCCTCCAGGTTGAGGCATAGGCAGGAGAGGCATGACTTTTACACCTTGTAACCTTGCCCTTGTAGGGCAGACTCCAAGAGCTCCCTCCCCCCACCCCCGTGACTGAGAGGTCATGGACCAGAGAGAGAACTACCTGAGGGCTTAATAGGAGAAGGTTGCCCTGACCAAAGAACTATGCCTTGAGGATTTCTGATCTGGAATTGTAGCCTGCTAACTTCCCTTATAAAGCTCACAATCATGACTATTGTCTCGGGGGCCATGGTATTGAATGATCCAAGCCACCTGAGAAGTGAGTAGTTTTGTGGCAAGGTTGTTATCACAGTAGAGAAGGAAGGTTGAAAGGTGGGGACACGTCTATTTAATCTCAGCCTTGGGAATTGCCCTTGGGTTTTCACTTTTAATCTAGTTCCCCCTTGTGAAGTCAGAAGAGGTCAAATGCTACTTCCTCACTGTTTACATAACTCTAGAGAAACTTTTACACAATTCCACATAGTGACAAAGACAAGGATTTGCACGCAATGCCAACTGTGATTAGAGAATTATAACTATATCCCCCCTGGGGAAATAAATGTGATACATGTGCAGTATAGAACAGAAAATGGATGTTAAACTTATGAAGTAGATGTACATATATCAATAAAGAGAAATGCACATAGAGCAACAAAGATAGTTCTTAGAAACTTATGTTCAGCTGAAAAAAGAGAGAAACCTAATTGAAAATAGAGCATAATGCCATCACATAAAGTAAAACATATTCAAAGTAAATGTAAATATTTCTATAAGTTTTCTCGTGCAGCCTAAGAAAACATTACAAATCTACATGCTTACAACAACATACATTTATTATCTCAGAGTTTCTGGAGATCCAGAGTCTAAGCAGTTTCATCAAATCCTCTGCTTAGGGTGGGGCTGTGATCTCCTCTGGAATGTAGGTTCAAATTGCTGACCTTGAGGTTTTCACAAACCACTATCTTACAAGGGCTCCTTAGAAATATAATTTAGAGAATTTTTAGTGTTTTGACCATCAGGTGCAGATGAACTCTTAACAGCCTCTCTTGTTATTTCAAAGCACACTAAGTGTGCATCCTCTTATTTTACTTTCTTTTTGTACTTCCATTTCCGTTTTTCTTCTCTCCACTACCACACGCAAAGACATTCATATGATTATACGAGGTGTTTTTTTTGAATTTATGGATATCTTTGTATAATATTGTGATTGACAGAACTCTAAGATGTCTGTGGCCAGGTGCACATGCTCTGATGTCAAACCAGTCCAGAGAGGCTGAGATCACCGAACCCGGAGGCCAAATACCGGTGTATAATAAAGCTCATTTTACAAGTCAACTTCCCTGCGGAAATGAGGAATGGCTAGGTGAAGCAGCTGGGGTCGAGACTGACCACAGTGGTTCTCAACCTTCCTGATGCAGTGATCCTTTCATACAGTTCCTGATGTTGTGGTGACCCCCAGCCATACAATTCTTTTCTTTGCTACTTCATAACTGTCATTTTGCTACTGTTATGAATAAAGGGACCCCTGTGAAAGGGTC